CGCCAGCAGCAGCAGGCAACAGGAGGAATGGGGCTGCCAGCAGACTCGGGGAGGGGGGGGCGTGGGGGGAGGTGATGGCAGGAGGATGGGTCAAGATTCGCCCCTGTGCCCACCACAGCCTTGCAGCCCACAGTGCCTTTTAAGGTGCACGAATTCATGCATTGGGCCCTAGTAGATATATATTATCTTTTGCAATTTGAATTTCATATGTTTTTCCGAGTTTATCTCACTTGCCTCTTAACCCTGCTTTTGATGTATATTACTATGTTGAAAATTATAAAATGTTTTTATGTAGTTAAATTTGTCAGCTTTATCTTGTATAGCTTCTATGTTTGTGTAATACTTATAAAAGCTCTTCCCCATGCCAGTCTTCCTATATTTTCATTTGGCAATTTCCACATACTTTTTTTAATGTTAAAAATTATAAGATATTAGTGATTTTATGGCTGTATGACATGGCTACATTAGAATGGATTTAACATTTTCTGAATCTTTCCTAAACATTTTTGTTCACAGATTGGTTGTCTTTGGCTCTGACTCTCATTTTCATTAGCTAATTGATTTAGAATCCTCTTATCTTTTATGTTATCAGATATTCATATTCTCTGATTTAAAGTTTCCCACATTCTTATTCATTGTTGAAATTTGTTGATACTGTACTCACTCTTCTGGTCTAGAATTTATTCACTAATTACTTTGGAATAAATTACATCATTTTTTGCCATTGAATCATATTGATAGTATAATTTTTTTTCTGTTAAATATAAGCTGAATGTCCATTTTGTTGGTTGCATGTAATAGCCTATGTTCATTTGTCATATTTTGTATGAAATAATTAAATTCATTAACAGGAAAGATCTTCAACAAGGTCACTGACCAGTCCTTATCCAGGCCAATTTGTTGTTTTTAAAAGCCACACCATAATCACTTATTTAACATTTGAAAAATGTGTAAATATTTGACTCCTCCAAATGTTAATACTGTGCTCTGACACTCGAGAACTGGTCTGCGGGTGATGTGATAAGGCCCATTTCTCATCTGCTCTCCGTCCTCATGGACGAGGTCCAGGAGGCCCCCCTCAAAGGAAGTCCCACTCTGACCAGCTCAT